GCATTTTGGGGCCGATCCTACGGGCTCGAGAAACCCACGTTAAACTCGGCCTTGTGCCACATGCAACCCTCGTGGTCTAGTGACTAGATACCGAATCGAGTCGAGCTTCTCGGCTTGACGGTCGAACTCTCTGCCTCTGAGCGGAGAGGAACCTGGATGAGGCTCCACCGAAGGGCAGAGTCTCGTTCTGGGAGGTTGACCAACCTGATCCCGTTTATACGGGTTCTACGGGCATTTTTTGGCCGAGCCTACGGGCTCCGGAAACCCACGTAAAACCTCGACCTTGTGCCACATGCAACCCTCGTGTGGGGTGGCTAGATACCGATCCAACAGTGAAAAATGCTCTTAAGTCCTTTGGAAAAACATAGACAATTTTATTTGTTGCCCAGCAAATAATATAGTGATTGATTCTAAATATTTATAGTTTATTCAACATTATATATAGTTGCTAAAGACTTTCGTTATTATCTGTCTATATTTCTGAGATGAGGTATTATATACACTGTTTACATTATTCGAACTATTGTCCTCATCTTTGTCGAGATATTTATTAAAACGTTTCGGCCGTTATACGCTCAGGCCTTCTTCAGGTGGTGGAATGTCGAACTGAACCTTTTTTTTCGCCCATTGCGGCAGACTGTTCCACGTGCCATGTTTAATGGATGTCAGTTGTCAGTAACTGAGATCCATTAAACATGGCACGTAAATAAGACACACGACTAAAACCCTATTCAGCAAGGTAAAATGACGGAAAAACAATAACATGTATATAGTAACTTACTAAGCGTAGCACAAGGCTGAAAATATGGAGCACCCAGTGAGTATAGAAATAACTACTCAGTCGTAATTGATCTAGCGCAGTCGTTCTCGACTTTTTTTTTTACTCATAGACCTTCTACTGTTTTTTTTAGTAGACCCTCATAACCATTCGATAAAAAGATTATTTTATTTTTTACTAATCCATAAGTTTAAGAATTATATTATAAAATTAATAAATGTATATGTTTTATTTTGAAGTAAAATTCCCTAGAGCTGATGGTATTTAGCAACTAAATTCTATGGGACAATTATGTGTACTAGTATAATATTACATACTAAACCATATTAAAATATGTGAATAATTAATAAATTAAAACAGTGCAGATTTTTACAACGAATTCCCTATGGCTGATGGGTATCTGTGTGTGTGTTTTTTTATATTCGGCTCCATCGATGTCAATGATCACCCCTTTTACAATGTCGAGCCTGTTTCGGGCTTTTGATAGTAAGTGAGACACACGACTAAAACTCGATTCAACAAGGTAAGATGCTGGAAAAGTCTTTTCTTTTTCTTTCACACACATTAAATTTTGTGTCATTGAAGCGTTATCGCTTTGTTTGGTGGGTTTTGATTTTAAAAAAAATCCTCTTGAGAGTTAATTCCCCTCAAGCAGTGGGAAGAATTCGTGGGGAGAATCTGCTTGTGTGTAACTTACATGCCACCAATGGAATACGTGGGCGTGGCAGGTCTTAGTCTGGTGGAGCTGAGGAATGCAGTTCGTCAGAAAGACTTTCCCTGGAAATAGCTATAGAGCAGCGAGAGTCTTGTGACGTGTCGACTGTGGGAGATTGCATCATGGAAAATAATTCATCCCCCACAAGGACGCGGAGACGCCTTTGAGTTCTGTTGAGCCTGGATAGTGAAGACTGTGCAGCCCCTGCCCATATACAGCAGCAACAGTCCTCTTTCTTTCGGCAAAAAGCACTGACATCTGTTGCTAGAAATTTGGCTTTGATCATACACGTGGATGAATCATCATCATCATCTTCATAATCTTCATCATCATCTTCATCATCATCATCATCATCTTCATCATCATCATCTTCATCATCATCGTCTTCATCATCTTCATCATCATCATCATCATTATCATTGTCTTCATCATCATCATCATCTTCATCATCATCATCATCTTCATCAATCCGTTTATTGCTTCACTCGTCGTAGCGATGAGGGGGACCCAAAGGCTATAGAAACAGGCAACCTCCTCCAGGATGATTTGTTGGCGGTGGCTCTCAGACCAGACGCTATTGTCATGTCTGTTTATTCTTTCATGTTGTAAGTTGTGGAACCAAATTTTTCCAACACTTGTGTCCGCCTTCAAAAGTGCCTGACATGACGGTCTTGCAGACCACGCCTTCCACGGTGACGTTGTCTCTTGAGTTGCCGTCGCCGATTGCGTACGTCTTCAACATTGACTTGCATGATGGTTTTGCTGTGGCTTTTATGCCGTGTGACGCGACCAAACCATGACATCTCCCCGAAGCTCAAAAGTGGCCAGAAGAGATTCCTGTCGGCTGGCGAGACTTTCGACCTTGATCCTTACCTAGTCATTGGTTTTGTGCTCCCAGTAGGAGACACGAAGGAATTTCTGTTTTCAAACACCTGAATCATTTCCCTGTCTCAACCATGAGTACCCGATTCTCACTCACGCAGATGAGGATGGATACGGCCAGCAATTTGTAAACTTGGTATGGAAGCTGATGTTTCACTTCTCTATCCTTTCCCGTCTTGCCATCGCTGTTGTCACTGTGGCGATCTATATGCAAATTCCTGCGTTGCAGCTGCCATCTTTTGACAAGGTAGCTTCCAAGTATTTAAAGCTGAACACCTAGACCAGTGGTTCGCCGTCTACGGTGACGTAGTCATTGTTGTTGCTTGTGCTATTCACCATTACTTTGGATTTCTCTTTGATGAATTCCATTCCATATATGCCGGTTCTTTCAACGACTTTGTTGGTCATGTCTTACCTCACACTGATATTGACGTCCATGAGATCAATTCTATAGTTCTAGCATCGCTCAAGATTAACATATATATATATATATATATATATATATATATATATATATATATAGATAGATAGATAGATAGATAGATAGATAGATAGATATGGGTATCTCTATTGAATTGGTCCAGTCTTTTGAACACTTTTTATTTTCCAAAATCCGTTGCCATAAACGTTGACTGTTTCTTCACCTCCATTTCTCAACAGTTTAAAAGTCGCAGATAGGTTCGCCTATCGTCCTGTTCTCACTCCTTCCTGGTTTTTTAAATTGGTTGATGGCTATCCCTTGTCTCCTGTTTAGGATTGGATTTCTGGTTCCTTTTTAAGGTCACCTCGGTCACTCACACTACCTCTTGCGTCTTAGTCGTATGAATGCGATTGTTATGGATGCTGATGGTATGGATGCTATTGGTATGGATACTGATAGTATGAATGTGATTGGTATTGATGCTGATGGTATGGAAGCGATTGGTACTGATGCAGATTGTATGGATGCTGATGGTATGGATGCTATTGGTATGGAAGCGATTGGTATTGATGCAGATGGTATGGATGCTGATGGTATGGATGCTGATGGTATGGAAGCGATTGGTATTGATGCAGATGGTATGGATTCGATTATTATGAATGCAATTAGTATTGATGCTAATGGTATGGATGCGATTGGTATTTGATGCTGATGGTATGGATGCGATTGGTATTGATGCTAATGTTATGGATGCGATTGGTATTGATTCTTAAGTTATGGATACAATTGGTATTGATGCAGATGGTATGGATGCTGATGGTATGGATCTGATTGGTATTGCCGTCTTTTGACAAGTTTGTTCCCAAATATTTAAAGCTGGACTTTCGTCCAGTGGTTTGACGTCCACGGTGACGTTGACACTGTTGTTGTTTGTACTATTCGCCATTACGATTGGATTTCTCTGTATTGAGATCCATTCCTTACGCGCCGGCTCTCATTCAAATTCAATTTCATGTCAAGTGAATGTAAAAAGCAACAGATTTATTATCCATTTCTTTTTTTTTTTAGACACAGATGTGTATGATTTCGCCATCTATATAGTCATGGGTGGATGCAAAAAGGTCCTTTTTGCTCCTTCATCTTTCAAAAAAAAAAAAAAAAAGAAAAGAAGAAGAGAAGAAACATTACAAATTCATCTTGTAAATTGTCTGTACGCGTTCTGGGATTAATTCAAAATGGATTCCGAATTCGTTGATTATCAATTTCTTTTATATCAGGAAAATAAAAAAAAGATCTAACTGATCACGTAGCGTAACGAAATATTTCGGAGCATAACGCCCGGATTTAATTGATGTCTTCTTATCCTAGTAGATCTAAAGTTTTCGTTCATTGTAAAAAGTGAATGAAGTGATGACAATTCGTTTGAATTGATCGCGTGCCCACTGTATTTCTCTCACGTATAGACAGGACTCAATAGATTAAATTCATCACCAACATCTACATGCATTCCAGAAAATTTACACACGCCTAAAATATATATCAACATATACGCGATTCTTTCTTGGTATACACAAAAGCACACGCACAAGATTAGGAGAGAGACTGTCAATTATATAACGAAAAATAGAAACCTTCAATTATATAACGAAAGAGTGGGAGTCCATTAATTATATAACGAAAGAGAGAGATAGAGTCCATCAATTATATAACGAGAGAGAGAGAGAGCTTCAAATATATAGAGAGAGACACAGAGAGATAGAGACCGCTGTTTATATAAAGAAAGAAAAGGAACCTGATATATATATATATATATATATATATATATATATATATATATATATAGAGAGAGAGAGAGAGAGAGAGAGAAAGCGAGATCGCCAATTATATAACGTAAGAGAGTGAGATATAGAGAGAGAGACTGCCAATTATGTAACAAAAAGAGACGGATCGCCAATTATATATCGAAAGAGAGAGACGTTCAAATATATAAAGAGAGAGAAAGAGAAAGAGAAACTGTTGTTCATATAACCAAAGAAAAAGACCTTGAAATATATAAAGAGACAGAGAGAGAGACAGACAGACAGAGAGAGAGACAGAGAGAGATCGCCAATTATACAACGTAAGAGAATGAGATATACGTAGAGAGACCGTCAATTATATAACAAAAGAGACGGTTCGCCAATTATATAACGAAAGAAAAACCTTCAAATATATAAGGAAAGACAGAAAGAGAGACCAGTAACTATATAACGAAAGAGAGAGAGAGAGAGAGAGAGAGAGAGGCCGTCGATTATATAACGGAAAAGAGAGCCCTTCAATTATATAACTAGAGAGGGGGGGCTTCGATTACATAATGAAAAAAAGAAGACTTTAATTATATAAAAAGAGAGAGAGAGAGACTCGATTTTATAATGAAAAAGAATGACCTTCAGTTATGTAACGAGACAGAGAGACCACCGATTTTATAACGAAAAAGAGAGACTTTATTTATATAACGAGAGAGGGAGAGGGGGGATTGTGTGAATGAGTGACTACCAATTATATAACGAAAAAGAGAGACTTCAATTATGCAACGAGAAAGAGAGAGAGGGAGAGAGAAAGAGAGAGTGGGGAGAGAGGGAGAATGTGTGAGTGAGTGACTCGAATTATGCAAAGAGAAAGAGAGAGAGAGAGAGAGAGAGATCCTCGTTTTTATAACGAAAAGTGAGACCTGCACATTTCAGGAGATTGGCTGTTATTCAGACATATTACGTGTGTAAATACGCAAAACGGAGGTCACAGCGATTATAAACTCAGAAATTGTAATCAGTGGACCGGGTTCAATTTCCGCCCGAGTTTATTACGGCTATTTATCACCCGACACTACCCCCCCACACACACCCACACCCACACACACACGCCAATGTCAATTGGGAATTTTATAAATTTGTTTATGAAAAACAAATTGAAAGCGGAAGTCCCATGCGTACATGGGTATTTATCATTTATTTTTAACAAAGAATTTGTTTTTTCCAGATTATTTTAAAAAATTCAAAGAATGCTCTGTGATTTAATCAATCCTAATCTGGCCTCTCGATATCAGTCACTTTATCATCGACATAACAATGCTTCCCTCTGTCTTTTCTACAAATGTTTTCATGGCAATTGTTCTGATGAGGTTTCCTGCTAAATACTCCGAGTGTATGAATTCAAGCGTGATACGAGATTGGTAACCAGTTCTCACTGTTTTAGTGATGAACAAGCTAGATGCAATCATGTGTTATAATCTCATAGTTTCTTTTCTCGTGCCTCTCGTATATCGGATTATCCCCCCATTTTTTTAATCCATTACCACCTACAATCTTCAACAATTTAAATTCAACGCGAATCGCCATCTTCCGCTTTCTTAAAATCTGTTCTTTTATTTTGTTTTCTCTTTTTTCTTTTCACTAGCAAAGAGGAGTGATAGAGGAAAAGATGAAGAAAAGGATATGGGATAGATGAAGGCATCTGGAGACATCGATTGATATTACATTAGAATAGTTGGAGATTATAGTTATTAGGGAAACAGGAAAAAGGGGAGGTGAGAGGTGCGAGACATGAAGCTATTGGCGTAGAAGAGACGGCTACATTTAACAGTTTCAACAGTGAAAGCGTGAGAGCGAGATGCCAGCCTAGTTGAGCGCTTAAATTCATGAAGTCTGGGAACCAGCGAAAGCAGCTCATCGGAGCAGTTACCGTGAAAGTATTTGTAAAAAGACAGAGGGAGGAAACGGCACGTCTGTGAGAGAGCGACTGCAGACGAGATGCCAGATTAGGGCCAATTACATTGCATATACGTCTCTGGATTTTATCAAGGACATTGAGACAAACAGAAGAGGCTCCAGACAATATATGGCAGCAATGTTCCATGCAAGGGCGAATGGTTGATTTGTAGATTTGAAGGATCGACTCCGGCGAGAAAGATTTCCTGGCACGGCACAGGGAGCCAACTTTCCTTGCGGTCAACGGAGCTATTGACTCAATGTATTTGTTCCATCTCAGGTCTGCAGTCAATGTGAGATCGAGTCGTCGCAAAGCGGAACTAAAGACCGAGTAATCGCAAAGAGGAACTAAAGTTTTCTCAAAGTAAGCCCCCTAGCGTCGTAGTGGCATTATCGCCTTGCTTGGGGTGAAGGGATTAAAATATTATAGTCTGTCTATATTTGTGAGATGAGGTATTATGTACATTATTCTGACTATTGTCCTCATCTTTGACGCCATATTTGTCACAACGTTTCGGCCGTTGTACGCTCCGGCCTTCTTCAGTTGGTTGGAATGTCGAACTGAACCCTTTATTTTGTATCCTTCAAACATG